TGTTTGAACTGTTTGATTGTCTCATCTGTGTTGGCTAATATGACGGCTTTGTAAAGTCCAAAAAGTCAAAAAATGAGTCGAGAATTGCTCAAATTTGGCAAAATGTATTTTCATTTGAGCACATTCAAAACAACATTGTCCAATGGGACAGAGCAGCATTATCTTGTTTTAAAAAGATACAAGAAATGTCTCCCCTGGAATGAGAAAATAAAGCAACAGTTCTTGATCCCATTCACAAATCTTGTTTTAAGACAGTCAGAATGTACTCAATTTCATTTTTGGCAGTGTTGTTGTTATTTAGGGCAATACAAAAAGTGACATGTGAGGCATTATGCTGTCATGTTTGTTGTTGTGGCTCTAAATAGTTCTGTTTTTACTGTACCTCAGGCTCAGGTGACATGGCTCTTGTTGATGATGTGAATGGGACAAAGCAGAGGACAAATGTGTGACGCAGGCCGAACAAAGGCCCTGAGCCTCTGTCAGATTAAACCAGTGTGTTATTGTGGTGTGGAGATATTTTTACCTGAGTTTGACCTGCGAGGGGTGGGAATTGAACCAGCGTCACGTCGTGTTTACTGAGCACACATGAGAAAAGGGCAGGACTTCTTCACAAAACCACAATGGAAGGCAACAAAGAGAAAACCTTGCTCAAGAACGATTTTCTTTCGTGTGTGTGTGTGTGTGTGTGTGCGCGCGCACGCGACAGTGTATCTTCTAACATACATTTAAAGTGAGTGATCAGATAAAATGGAGAAAAATACAATAAAATAATAAATTAACCCTTTAATGGTTTCCTTAACCATTTGGTGGATCATGTTTTGAGTCACTATATCAACTTAAAGCCTGAAACTGAAATCTACCTCATTAGGGCATTTCTGTCATTTGGTTTAAGGCACTTCACTGGGGTTCCTGAACTTTCTGTGGAAGACTGAGGCACCCTCAGTGCAAGAAGGAGCCCTACCGCAAGGCCTTTATTCCCACCGCTGTCAGACTGTACAATAAGTCAGTTGCACTAGGACTAAAAAAACCTGCACTACTATTGCTACTGTTTCTTTGATTGCCACTTTTTTGCCACTTTCTATTGTAAATAATATATCCTGCATTTAACATGTCTGCACATTTCTTTCTTTTGCACAATCTTGAGTGTTTCTCTCCATGCCAGAGGTGACATGTACATTTCTCCTGTGTGAGATCAATAAAGTCTATCTCATCTTATCTTATCTCTTCTAAAAGTTCAGGAACCCCAGTGTGCCGTGTGTGGTGATTGGAAAACCCTTGTGCAAATATGTCATAGGCATAGTAGTCCCAAGTGAACCAAAGGTCATTTTATCTCAATCTGGAATTGAGATTGAATGACATTGTTTGTCAGGCTTGAACTCTCTGACCCGGCTTGGATTTGCCCCTGTGTACGGAGGTCGGAGGGCGCCGTAATTCGGTTTAATTGGAATTAATAGAATATCTACCTGCTTTTGATGCTACATTGCATATAATATTGTCCCTCTCAGGCGATTTGTGTTTCTCCTGCTGTGTCTTCTCCCCACTCTTATCTCACATTCCTTGACCAAGGCCATAAACAAGGTCCCACAATCTACAACAACTCACACTATTTCAGTCTCCAGCAAGGATCCCTCACCCCCGCCTCCCTCTACCTATCCATCTTGCTCCCTCCCTCCCCTCCATTCCTTATTGTTTTCCTACTCACCCCCTCCCTGATCCCGCCCCCCTCTGACAGCTACATTGGGCCGGCCGCCGGAGGTGCTCATCCCGAGAAAAAAATCCGTGGTTTATAAAAAGCACAATGTGTCTATCCAATTGTATGTGAACTGTATGTTATTGCTCTCTGCTGTTTCTTGCTGCACACAGCGCCGCAAATGGCGAAGTGGCACGCTCTCTGCCAAGACAATTTCCAAGTGATAACTTTGTTACTCACGTGGCAATAAAAATGATTCTGATTATGATTCTGATTCTGAAATGAGCCAATCAGCACAAGAACACTTTATTATACCGCCCCATCCATTTATCATCATTACAACAAACACACAAGAAAATATTCCACAACTTTAAACATTTGCAATTGCAATCCTCAAATATTTTCTCTCTGTGACCTGCGGTGAGCATGTGCCGTGCTGTCTGGGGTTTGCTCCTCACGCTCGCTTTAGCCTCAGGTCTGTGTGTGTGTGTGTGTGCTTGTGCGTGTGTGTGTGCGCGCGTGTGTGCGTTTGTTTGTGTGTGTGCTTGTGCGTGTGTGTGTGCTTGTGCGTGTGTGTGCACGCGTGTGTGCGTTTGTTTGTGTGTGTGTGTGCTTGTGCGTGTGTGTGTGTGTGCGCGCGTGTGTGCGTGGGTGTGTGGGTGTAAATGTGAGTGTGTATATTGCTAACTAGCTGTTAGCACGAACACATCCTCTCTGGTCCTGGGGTGTTTGCTATCCCCATGGTAACACAAACAAAAGGAGAAAGAGGGAACTCCCCGATCAGATGAAAAGCATCTGCTCGCACGGCCCCAGGACGATCTGAGGACACCGACCACAGCTTGGATTCCTACGTGTGACTTGTTATGAAGCTGAAGACGGTGGCTTGTCTCTTTCTATTTATGTATTTATCTATCCATCTTTATCTATCTATCCACCTTTATCTATCTATCTATCCACCTTTATCTATCTATCTATCCATCTTTATCCATCTGTCTATCCATCTATCTATCTATCTATCCATCTTTATCCATCTGTCTATCCATCTATCTATCTATCTATCCATCTTTATCCATCTGTCTATCCATCTATCTATCTATCTATCCATCTTTATCCATCTGTCTATCCATCTATCTATCTATCTATCTATCCATCTTTATCCATTCTTCTATCCATCTATCTATCTATCCATCTTTATCCATCTGTCTATCCATCTATCTATCTATCCATCTTTATCCATCTGTCTATCCATCTATCTATCTATCTATCCATCTTTATCCATTCTTCTATCCATCTATCTATCTATCTATCCATCTTTATCCATCTATCTATCCATCTATCTATCTATCATGTATTACTACTATGAAGGTACAAAATGGGGAGGGTGAGATCAAAACAAATACATTGTTGCTTGTAAGTCTCCTTGTCTATTTGATATTTGACGCACTTTGTATTTCATTTTTTTGTTGCAATAGAATCAATTTGATCATGACACGGCACAAATGAAAACAGAAGCGAGGAGATCTATTTCCAGTCACTTGAAACTTCTCCAAAGAGTATGATTTAACCTGAGTCTTGCAGCTGCTTGTCTGCGCCTGCTTTTCTCTACGAACTTGAGCGTGAGATATTTCTAGAAGCACCACGCCTTCTCCAAACATAGCAATTACCACGGCAACAGCTAAATTTACCTGGACACACCTGGAGTTCACCTGGGAACGTCGACTCTGTTTGTGATGAGGGAAACAAACAGAGTGACAGGTTAAAGAATGGGACAAACACAAGTTTTTGCATAATTTGTTCCTAATATATCTTGCATATATAATTTTTTGCCTTAAACTTGTGTTGGAATAATCACTTCTCCACTGATGTGACCTGTAAGTTTTCCTGATGGCGTTCTGTTGGGGATATGTATATACATTTAGTAAAATTCCAAAGAGAGACCCAAAGATTAAGGACAGAGGTTTGTTACCAATTTTAGTGATACGATGACTTTTGTTTTATTTGAAATATACAGAACATGTACAAGTCCCATATTTAACTCCAGGCCTTCATGGCTGTGATCTGGATTATGATTTTATGGCAATGTCTCTCTGCAGTTTCATATTTACAGTCTGTGGGTTACAGCCATAGTTTAACTTTAACCCAACGTAATAATGCATTGGTTTTGTTAGCGCTTTGTTAGACACTCAAAGATGCTTTACATGTCATTATTCTTTCACTCCATACACAGTGGTGATAAACTATACTGTAGCCACAGGTGCCCTGGGGCACACTGACAGAAGCGAGGCAACCAGTATGTGCCATCGGCCCCTCCGACCACCACCAACATTCACACACACACACACACCACATTCATTCTAATCAATGTCTTGCCTAAGGACACAACAGCAGTTTGGCATTTTACAGCCGCAGCCGCCCCACTGTGGCTGGTGTTCCCAGAGGTTAAGTGTCTTGCCAAGGACACAACGACAGCAGACAGTGGGAGTCAATGGTGAAAGTCAGGCTCGAACCCACGACCCTCTGGCTCAAAGGCCAATGCTCTACCAACTGAGCTGTCGCCCAATGGAGAGACAATGCGGACCCTCCCCTGTAGAGGTACAACTTTGCTCCACAGAAAGTAAGTAAGTAATTAAGCAATAATTATTTATAAAAGAGTGTATAAAAAGAAATAGTGAAGAAGTACATGGAGGAAAGAGAGTGATGCCCTCAGCACTGAGCAGTTGGAGGAGAGAAGTGTATGGTCAGTGTGTGTGTGTGTGTGTGTGTGTGTGTGTGTGTGTGTGTGTGTGTGTGCGTGCGTGCGTGCGTGTGCGTGTGCGTGTGTGTGTGTGAGTGAACTGTCTTGTCTTATGCCATTGGTGGTAGTTACTGTATTGTTGTTACTGTATGTACTGTACAGTAAACTTTTATATAATGTGATTGAACTTACCCAGTATGGTATTGTTTCTGTCTTATTGTTTGTCCTGTGTGTCTGGCTGAGGGGGGATTGGATTAATATAAGCATTTTGCTTCCTCCAACTCCTTTTCAATCCCTGTTTGTGCTTTTGTTTTATTGTTTCCTGTGAAAATTATGTGTGCAGGTTTCGAAATAAATATTTCATTCATTCAATAATAAGTACGTTTATATAGGGCCTTTCACAGACCAGAGTCACAAAGCGCTTTACAATTGTTGTGGGCATTTGTCATTTGAGATGGGACTGGGGTTGTCTGCTACCTATAGAAGAAGGGAGTGTTTTTTTCTTCCTCCAGTGACACTGAACAGCGAGTGACAAACATACCACTTTTATATATTCCAAACCCATATCCGGGGCACATGCAGCAGAAGCAGAGAGGCAGCAGAACATTGAGAGAACAACGTTGGAGCTCAAATATACACTCGAGAAATGCAGGTAAATTACCCTCGCACCTTTTCACAAAGATGACAGATATTACCATTTTTGAACTGATGCGATTCCACGAACTTGAACATATCTAATTTGATTTTTATGAATTGCACTGATCTTGGTCTTGGCGTGGTTTTGTCTGGATCCAAACTACATGTGTAAGAATCTCAAAAATGATTGTGATTCTAAAAATATCCTTAAAAACAACATGAGTTTATGCAGCAGGGGGCGGGGCTTGTGCACAGACCACCCCCACTCAGTGCATATTTAAACCAGCTCAGAGCAAACACATTTACTCAAAAAAATATTTGGAATCTGCTTATTTCTGACGTTTAGATATTTTGGTTCTATTCTATATTTACACTTTTTTTCATTTACCCTCCACTTTTCTTAAATCCCTTTGTGTTCTTACTGACCCCCTGTCACAGTTTGTACCCATGATGTCTGTGGTCCTTCCAGCCTCAGGTGACTCGCAGACCCTGGAGAAGACTTCACTGAACCAGACTTTGGTGAAGCAGCCTCGGGTCCACAGTGTGCGCAGACGCAGAGTCCTGTTTCCGTCCAGGACCAAGAGGCCGAGACCCGGACCTGAACCAGACCTGGTGCAACGAGCACTGCTGCTGCTGTGGGCTCTGCTCTGGCTGCAGGTCTATGTAGAAGAAACAGGTACAGTACTTTTATCTAGAGCTCCAGATCTCATTTACAAATAAGACAAAACTTTGTTGATCTCACATTGGAGAAATGCATGCCGTAGCCGTCTAAAAGAACCATACTCTAGGCCGTAAAGCCCTTCTATACCTGTCATTTAAACACGACACATGTGTACATTAGTCTCATAGTATTCCAAAGCACGAGAAAATACAACGTAATTATACAGGATTGATGCTATTATTTTAAAATGGTAGCATGTAAATCTAATAGATGATCTTGTATGTTTCTTCTTTTCTCAGCTTTAACATGAGTTGAGTGACTATAACTGGTATGTTTTACTTAAACAAGGACTGATGTGATTTGCTCTTCCCTCCTCAGAGATCCAGAGTCCGTCCACAGACCTGCCAGAACTCGAGTCCGAGGATAGTGCAACAATCCTGGATGCAAATCAAAGTGGAGTGAGGGTGGAGTCCTGGAACACCCACACAGACCCAGACCTTGGTTCGACCAGGACTGATACCTGAATAATGAAATAATAATGTACATAATACATACAGTTTGCATCAAATGGACCAGGTCTGGATGAATGGAAAACCTTTGTAAATATTCTGTAAATATGTGGTCATTACCAAAGGAAACATGATATTGTACTTTGGTTGTATAATGATCGTTTGTATCTATTTTGACTTTTGTAACTTATTTGCTTGAGCCAAAGCAAATTCCTGGTGACTTCTTGTTTCCTACAATGGAAATAAAAAAAGAATTCTGACTCTGATCCTGATTCTCTTTTGTAAATGGTCAGTTGTAGGGCAGATAATGTGCCAGCAGATGGGGCCACAGCTCACCCCAAGTTTCTATCCTCTGCCTCCACTGAAACATGTTCAAATAACTCACATTTCAGACAAAGGTTAAGAGTATAATGTGTGTTTACTGTTTCAGGCAGTTTGCAGTAATCATCCAAACTATATATGATCTAGATTATCTATATCTATTTATTATATTATTATAATGTAATCTAACTACCAGTGTCACGTTTCTAAAAGATATTCAGTGCAAACTTGTCCATCCCTCTCACAGATCACCCAGTCTTGAATCTGTTTTATCTGTTGTGTCGTAAACTGGGTCGTGAGGTCTTCTCTGCCTTCAAAGAAAATGTGGAATTATTAATTTTTTTATGAGTTCTAGTGTTTAGAATCTGTCACCATTCAGACATTGTTTCACCATATTGTTTAAGGACGAAAACATTTAAAATATTTCAAAATGTGTTGCCCAAGGATACAAAGTCACTGATCACAGAAGCCGCATTTCTCCCAAAATTATGAAATGAAAGTGTTCAAAGGAAATCCATGATCTGTGTGTGTGTGTGTGTGTGTGTGTGTGTGTGTGTGTGTGTGTGTGTGTGTGTGTGTGTGTGTGTGTGTGTGTGTGTGTGTGTGTGTGTGTGTGTGTGTGTGTGTGCACTTGTTTTCAACTCCTAGTGGGTTCCATAACCTGAGATTCCACTCACGTCATGGGGACTGGTTTTACGTGGTGGGGCCCGAACACCGGACCCCACTGGTCCAAGCTTAATAATCAATGGGTAATGCTTTTCTAACAGTCCTTATGCAGTCTCTGTAAAAATATGGAAAGGACCCCTGGAGGTTTACTTTCCTGAAAAAAGTGTGTTATGTGTCGGAACCCTGGTGGTGGGTTGCGGGATATCAGGAGGGGCACACTGGGGCAATTTCAGTCCAGCAGGCTGGAGCCAATCATGGAGCAGCACAACAGAGGAAGTCAGGTGAAAAGGTGCAAGTGTGTGGTTCATTAGGCTGCAAGACATCATGGAGGAGCACACTGAAGCGCACGCTTACAACCCACTGGTAAGTGCTGACTACAAGTCATGACTTCAAATTGTTATATAGAATTATTACAAATTATTTGTTGTTTGTGCAGCTTAGTCAAGAGTCCCTAATTGATGAAGTCGACTCAGATTCTGACGATTTAACTGTCAAGAAGAAACCTGTAAAAAAGTATGGAAAAAGAAAAATCAAAAACACTTTTCTTCAAGACTCGGAAAGTGACGAACCAAAGGCAAATAAGATTGTTATCATGCAGCTGCAAAAGAAGAAAAATGGGGGCAGGGTTTACAGCAAGAGACACTTCTGCCTCTACTGTTCAATGTCCTGCCACAAAATGTCCCGTCATTTGACTAGAAAACATGGAAATGAAAGTGACGTAGCCAGAGCATTGGCTCTACCTGTGAAGTCTAAAGCACGTAAACTTCAGTTTGATTTGATCAGGAATAGTGGAAACCGTAAGCACAATTTTGAGGTTTTAAAGGCCGGCATTGGAACTTTAGTCCCAGCTAAACAGCCAAATTCCCCAGTTAAATCCAGTGAGTTTTTGCACTGTATAGACCATTGGTTCTCAAACTTTTCACACCAAGTACCCCCTCAGAAAATACTTGCCTCTCCAAGTACCACCACAAATGACCAACACCACACAGTAGCGTAGTAAGCCGAAGTATTCATCAATAACAAGGCAGAGGTTTCATTCCTAAAGAAGTATATTTAATGTAATATTTTACACAGTTTCAACAGAAAGACTGCGCTTAAATATAGGGAAAAAAAATGTTTTAAATGTTTCATTCATTGCGAACTGCAAAGCCTCACTGTGAGTGATATTCTGGAGTGGGATCTTTGTCCACAGAAGGTTTGGACTCTGGTGCACTTTACAGTAGTTTCTAAGGCTTGCTCTGCTGCCCTCTTACATCTGCCGTTTACTCACAGAGACATGTTCATATGGTTTGGATCAAATGATCGTTTGTTGCTCTCTGTTCCTTTTGCACAGAACTGGGAAAAAAACCTGCTCCTTCTACATGGAACGTGTTGCAAAAAGACTAGAAATGATCTGATCTTATTTCCTTGAATGCTTTTAGATCCAGATTGAGACATCTTCAGTGAAATGTAACTGTTTTTATAATCCGTAATTTTATGAAATTGTGTGTTACTGTTGTATAATCTGTATGTGACTGTTTTATCATCTGTATGTGACTGTTTTATCATCTGTAATTTTATGTAATTTTTGTACACAAAAAAGAGGTTCTCATTGACTACCAGCCATTTTTTGATGACTTCACTGATTTTTAAGACTCACAGAATATTGTGTGCTATGAAAAATATGAAACCAGAGTCTGAAAGACAGGACTGTCTACTTTCAGCAGCAAAAAGAAGTTTGTTCTTAGTTTGTTTCGTTCTCCTGTGATCTCCAGTCGAAAAGAGGAGAGTGTGACAAAAAGCACCAGTCTTAGACAAAAAAAATTAGAAAATGAGGTTTTTGTGAAAACAGACGAACTGCAGAAAAGTGATTGTAAAACTATTTAGTTTAACTTTAGCATCTCCTCAAACATGTCCAGGATCTTACATGTTAGAAAACAGCAACACGTTTTGAGAAAGTGTTTTTAATGTAAAATAATAAGTTTTATGGCACACACACAAACTATGCCAGATAGAATGGCCAGTATTCATCCATTAGGTGGCACTATATTTATGTCAATAAGAGTAAATCAAAGAATAACAAAATTACAATGATAAACACTATACATGACAATAAATCAAAGTGAATACTTATACTTATAGTATAAGTGCAACAGAATACTGCTGTGTGTCTTTGTGTATTTGGGCGTGCATGTATGTGCGTTTATGCACGCGTTTGTGTGTTTTTGTGTGGTTACATCTACAGAGCGTCTGTTTAGTCCGGCGTGCGCTGTGACCATATCTGGACTTTGCTGCTGGCTCCTGGTGTGGACTCAGTGATAATTTTAGCAATAGTCCACTTTTCTGTGGCTTTTTTGAGGTGCTCCACTGGTCTGCTGTCCTGACCCTCCACATGGTCTGCTGCTAGGACCCTCCACATGGTCTCTGTCAGCTCTGGAGACACATTTACTGCTCAAACTGCCTCCAAATGTAGCCTGACCCTAACTATATTACTCCATGTCTGCTTCACCTCTGTCTCTCCTGCTCAGAGTGCTCAGAGTGATCTTTGACCAAACCAGGGAGTTCTGCTGCCACCTGCTGGCTTAATAAAATACTGTCTACAGCCAAACCCCAGACTGTATGATACAGGGGACACAGACTGACAGGAAAAGATTGAAAAACAATGTTGTCCTCAAATGACATCCATGGCTGTCAATGAGTTAATCTCAATGGGACTTTCCTGGTAAAATTTAAAAAAAAAAAAAAAAAAAAAATTTTTTTTTTTTTACAGATTTTTTTTTTTTTCCATAGATTCTTTGGCGTACCCCTAGAGGGCGCCCGCGTACCACTAGGGGTACGCGTACCCCAGTTTGAGAAACCCTGGTATAGACTGTGGGGCATTGCTTAAGCGAAAGTCGCTGTGGAGGCATGTGGCCAGGTGCCGGCTTTCACAGAAAGATGCCCAGGCTAAACCAGGTAGAAGTAGGGTCCAGTCCCTCTGCTCCCTAGCCCAGCCTGTACCGGAGGGCATCAGCAAAAAGCTGTGGTCTTTAATTTCGGCAATGCATCAGGATGAGGTCACGGGTGTTGTCAAAGCAGAAAAGGGGATTCTGAGACTTGGAGAGCACCTGTACTTAAAACACGGGCATGATAAGACTAAGCATGATTACATTAGGCAGAAAATGAGAGAAGTCGGTAGGTTAATTAACGAAGCAAAAACCGCAGGGAAACTGAAAACAATTAAGGATTTCTTTATTCCTTCCAACTTTAACCATGTGATTGATGCAGTCAGGTCTGTGGCTGGATATGATGAGGAAACAAATCAATACAAGACTCCATCCTTGGCCCTCAAACTCGGCCATAGCCTCAGAAAGCTAGCAGATATTCTTGAATGTGACTCAAAAATGGAGCATTGTGTTGATGAACTATTTATTAAAAACCTCCAACGAAGCCGGCTGCTTTTTGAGAAGAGGTGGGACGTCTGTGTTTCTTCTGCTGCCCTACAGACCCTCCGGCAAGCCAAGTGGAACACTCCAGACCTGCTCCCTCTGACTGAGGACGTTAGAGCCATGCATGCACATATTGAGGTATGTCGACCTGAATATGTGCAAACCCTAATAAGTGAGCCAACGTCTAAGCATTGGTCTAAACTGGCAGTTTTGACTCTTTGTGAGGTCATCATTTTCAATCGAAGAAGGGAAGGTGAGGTTTCAAAGATGCCACTGACAGCCTTTACCTTAAGAAGTAAGACTGGGATCCATTCTGACATTGCTCTGGGACTGTCCCAACTTGAGAAAAAGCTGTGTCAGCATTTTCAACGCATTGAAATTAAAGGGAAAAGAAGTCGGAAAGTGCTGGTTCTTTTGACTCCTGAAATGATTGCTTCGATGGAGGTGCTGGTGGAGAACAGAAGGGCCTGTTCCATCTCTGACCATAACCCATACTTCTTTTCCCGCCCGGGCGCAGACACCCACATCAGGGGATCAGACTCCCTACGCCAGGTAGCCAAAGAATGTGGTGCGGTGCATCCAGAGATGCTATCCTCAACCAAACTTAGAAAGCACATAGCT